TGTCCCAGGGGAGCGGGGGCACTGGGAGACCCCCGCGGCGGTCAAGGGGTCTGCTTACCTCCAGCAGGGCCGGAGGAGCCGAAGAAACCCCAGGCGCCGGTAGCGCCGGCGCGGGTCGTCAGCCGGGCGTTTATTCGGCTGCGGCTGAACGACGGGGGCGGGGCACGCCGGACGGGAGAAATAAATGGCGACCGTGCCGAGGCAGAGGGGCGGCTGAAGGGAGCGAGACGGGGGGGGGCGCCCCAACGAGCAGGGGATCAGCCGCCGCCTGCGGAGGACGGGGCAACGCCAGGTGGAGGCAGAGCAGGCTGCGAGCCACGCAGCGGAGCACCTGCGGAGTGCGGGGCGACGCCAAGCAGAGGCGGAATAGGCTGCGAGCAGCGCAGCAGGGTAGGCTGCGAGCAACGCAGCGGAGCACCTACGGAGTGCGGGACGACGCCGAGCAGAGGCGGAGCAGGCTGCGAGTCACACGGCAGAACCAGCTGGGAGCAACGCAGTGCAGCACCCGGGAGCGGGACAAGGAGGGGAGAGGTCAGCCTCGTGAAGGGGGCAGCTGCCAGCGGGGAACCTGCCACCCGAGACGGCCGGAGGGGCGACGACGGCGCCGAGAGTGGGGCCAACGATACTCCACGCTATAGAGCCGACGGCACGGGTAACTGGGGCGAGAACTATTGGGAGAGCAGAACAGACATCTGCAGCCCAAGAAAGGGGAGCGTAAGCTGGCATCCTTACGGGGAGAGGCACGACCGGTCCGAAGACCACTGGTAGTCACCAGCGGGTCCGAACCAAGAGAGCGCGAGGCAAGGACGGATTGGGGGCCAGAATAGGAAGACCTGAGGGGGCGTATGGCCGGGGTGTAGGGGAGGACGGAGCCCCGAGAGTTCCCGCGAGGAAGCACGCAAGCACCGGGGGATGCCCCGAGGGAAGACCCCCCACTGAAAGAATCATCAAAGTGAGTGACTGTATCCCAAAATAAAAGGAAGAGGTTTTTTTTTTTCCATTATCTGGCCCCAATCTATTTTATTACTGACCAATCCTGTATAGCATGTGTCAAATGTGGGTGCATTTTGTTAATATGAAAATGTATACAATGTTTAAGAAAATAGTTAATCTTATATTAAGACTTGCTTTTGCTTTAAACAGGAGGAAAATGAAAATATTCATAATATTACCACCTACACAGTAATAAGTAAAAATTTTGCTGAAGGCAATGTCTAGTAAGCTCAAAGCCTTGATTGATTTCCTTTACAGAGCAATCTCTGACTGAGAACCTTGTACTCCAAGTGAAGAAACTCCTGTATAAAATGTCACACTTCCCTGATTTATCCCTGAATAAATCAATAGTGGATTTATTTATTTATTTATTTTTTTGCAATCAGAGCCATTCACCTTGTTCTGTCTGTGGAGGAAAATGTGACTTCATTTGATAATTTTTTAAACAAATTAACCAATGGCATAGAGACTTCTGCCATCCTCTTATGTTCCTTCACAGTGAATTTCACATTAAAATTTACCAGCAGCATTGGATTGCCCTGGCTTCTACAAACAGCTATGTTTTAGCATATAACAGAAAATGCATACATACTCTTTAAGATACTGTTCCAAATGCTGTGCTCGGAGAAGTGCTTCATCTCTCTCTTCATTGGCTAACCTAAGCCTTGCCATAACAGCCTCATCGCGCTCCCGTTGAGCAGAATAAACTTCTTCTACCAGAGCTGCAAAAATAACCAGTATGTTTAACAAACAAGTTTGATGGAGAAATGCAGACCCACAGCTTTAGAAGTATCCCCACATGGGGCCTTATCCAATGTCTACTGAAGTCAGCTGTTTTCCCACTAGCCTCAGTGTGCTTGCAAGTTCCTATATGCTCTACTTCAGTGATTCTTAACCAGGGTTTTGTGGCACCCTGGCCTGCCGCAAGATCCTTTTAAAGGTGCGGTGCAATATCAGCACCGATAGGTATGCAAACACCTACATGTAATTTACAAGATAAACCCAGAGATTTCCATACTGTAAAAAACATTCTGAACCATTACAGTTCTTTGCAACAGAAGAATTGCTCTCTTATTTTTCCATAGTCAAAAAAAAACAAGTGAAAGCTAAGAGCTGGCATTTTCTAAGGGGTGACTTGACTCTAATGAGAGGTGCCTTGAGATAAAAAATGTTAAAAACTACTGCTCTAGATCAGTGGTCCTCTATCTTCTGACCCTATAGGCCAAATGAGTTGCGCTGGACCAGTCCACAGGCCAGATCAAGCCCTGAGCCCCAAGAACAGGTCCTGGGGGCCTGGCACCACCCCTCCCAGGCCCCTATACTAGGTTTGAGCCAGAGGGCCCAGTGCTGCCCCTGTGTGCCTGGAATTAGGCCTAGAGACCAGGTGCCACCCTGCACTGGGATCACGTACCCGATCCAGCACATAGGGTCCGGGGCTCCCCATGGGTCTGTAGATTTGCTTCCTGTGCCAGATTTCTGGACCCATGGGCACCCCTGCTCTAGATAAAATGCTCCTAATCTAAACCCATCAGCTCAATATTGTGTTTCACCCTTCTGGAAATGTTACCCAAGTGGCATTAATAATTAGCATGAGTATCTGAAGAATCAGAAAGGGTACAGGGTTTACCCTCCGAGTAATCATTCAAGACAAGATAACAATTAAAATGATCACTTCTGAAGCAGTGACTCAGAAAGAAAGGGAAAGTTCTGAAGCTCACATTCATATTGAATACCAGCACATCACAAAAAAATTAAGAGAAACTATCCACTCAAGTTGCTTTTAACACCATACAAACTAAATTGTCTAAAGTAGTGAACATAAATACTTAGAAATAAATAGCTGGTCAGACCACAGGACCATCTAGCACAGTAACCTCATTTCCCCCTTAGATAGATACAAACTCTAACTTGCTTAGGTATTTGCATAGTGCTCCTTTCCTTGGTATTCAGAGGATGATAAGGTTAGCATCCCTTTCTTCCTTTCAAGTCTTCCCTTTATTATTTAATATATTGTTATATTATCTGTTAGAGCATGCATGGGCTGTGAAGCATTAGGTGCCAATAAACTAAGATTTGCTATCTATCCTTGGGAGTAAACTAAACACCTTCAAGTCATTCTTCACCCTGTGCTTTCTTTTGCTTCTTGCATTTCAGTTTTCAACCACCTCAGGAACATTGCCAGAATCCCTACTGTGACCCTGCTTTCATGAAAAATCTTATTCATACTTTCATCATTTTCCTTTTTAATATCACAAATCTGTCTTTACAGTAGTCTTAAATCTCTGCTCTCTAAACTTCATGGGACTCAGGACATTGCAACAAAACTACTTGCATTGTAAGAAGAGGTACTATGACCTCTATCACTGTCACTGCCTTCCTATCCATCACCAAATTCATTTAAAAATTAGGTTTCTAAAGGTGTTTATACACCTTTAGAAATCTTTATACACCTTTATACACATGTGGCAGCAGGAAGGCATTTTAATTAGAGCAGCTCTGTGAAGGGGTCTGTGAAGAAGGGCTGGGCTGCACCAGCAGGGAGAGGAGGGAGCTGGACTGGCTCCACAGAGCCCCTGCTGGCCAGGACCCCTGTACTCCTGCTGCCCTGCTCTGGGCCCTGCCAGTGCTGGCCCTGGGACACCGGTGTGGGCCCCATGCTCCCACTAGCTCCCTGCCCACTCACTCCCAGTGCCCCCCAGCCCTGCGGTACAGGCGGGGGGCAGTGTGCAGCCCCGACCCCCTGCTCGCCGGCAGGGAAGAAGCTGGTGCTGTGCACGGGAAAAGCGGCCCCTTGCCCACCCTATGGCACTCATAGCCCGTGCGGGGCTGTCTGGAGCAGGCACAGGCAGCCCCATGTAGGCTGCAAGCCAACTTCAAGCTCCCCTGTTGGCGGCAGCAGCTGTAGCTCCCCTGCTTGCTGCGCCGGGCAGTGTTGGCTGCTGCTGCCCACCCAGAGCTCGTGTGCTGTGCAGCCCACAGGTGGAGGTGGAAAACACTGCTCGGCGTGACCCACAGCTGCTGTTGCCACGTGCAGCCCCAATGAGCGAGCTGGAAGCTAGCACAGTTCCCGGGCTGGCAGTGGGACTGGGTTACAAGGTGGTGCTGAGCACGGGGCAGGGAAAGTGGCCCCTCACCCACCCCGTGCCTGGTGCCCTGCGCTGCAGCCACTCACAGCCCGCCTGCGGCTGTCTGGAGCAGGCACAGGCAGCCCCACATGGGCTGTGAGTGCCTGCAGCGTGGGGCACCAGCGGGGCCAATTTTCCCTGCACTGGGAAGGAGCCCAGGGAAAAGCTGAGCATGGGGGGGAAACACGGGGGGGAAGTGGCCCTTCCCCTGCCCCGTGGCCAGTGTCCTGTGCAGCCCGCAGGGGGCTGCCTGTGCCTGCTCAGGACAGCCCCATGCAAGCTGTGAGCGACTGCAGCATGGGGTGCCAGCCACGGGGTGGGGGAGGGACTGCTTTCCTCCACACTGGGAACGAGCCCAGGGAAAATCTGAGTGGGGGGAGGAGGGAAGTGGCCCCACACCCACCCTGTGGCCGGCGCTCCCTGCTGCAGGGGCTCGCAGCTCATGCGGGGATGTCTGGCGCCGGGACAGATGTCTGGAGCAGGCACAGGCAGCCCCACATGGGCTGTGAGTGGCTGCAGTGTGGGGCACCGGCCATGGGAGGGGAGAGGGGCTGCTTTCCCCCCCTGCACTCAGCTTTTCCTTGGGCCACTTTTCCCCAGGCTCCTTCCCTGCCCAGGTTCCCCCCTGCCCTTCCCCTTTCATTTTTGGCAGGAACTAAGGGAAGATAAATATTAATTTTCTAAATTTTTAGGGGCCCTGCGGGCCAGATAGAATGGTCTTGCAGGCTGGATCCTGCCCGCAAGCCATATTTTGCCCACCCCTGAGATAGCAGTTCAGTTAGTGCGGTCATTTGAAGGATTAGCAAAAAGAATATCAAATATTTGGGCAAAAATGTGGTCTATGCAATGAATACTCTTTAGCCTATAGATTCCCTGAGCCCTTTCCCAAGCAAAGTAGCTCAGGGGCATAGAACATGAGAAGAAAATATAGAGGAATGAATCCTAATAGATCTCTAGAATTTCACTCAGGATGTGAAATCCTCCCTGTGCTTTTAGACTGTAACAAGCAACACTATTAAGAAGCAAACTAAAGGGTGGGGAGACAGACATAACTTTTGCAATTCTGGCATAGTGGACGAGGAGAATAATCTGACTGTCTGAATGAAGAGGGACTGGAGACAGATACACAAGTCAGTTCTAGGGCTATGCTCTCTTTTTAAAAAGGAAGTCAGGTCCACCGTGCCAACATGGTCATGGAAGAGATGTATCAAATTGCATCATTGATAGGAAAACAAGTGTCATGAATACTCTCACAAAACTGTCCAACCACACACACATTTTGAGCTTCTAAATTCCAATTTAAATATCATAAAATATTTTGAATATCCTTTAATGTTTAGAGCTAGAGGAGTTTTCTGCTGCAGAGAGGATCATTTCTCTCATTCTTAGACTGGACCCCAAGCTATAGTAAACTGAGTATCAACTGTGCTTAGACATTGTGTTCTGGTACCTGGAGTCTGTAACCATCCAACAAATACAATGACCTGGTAGCCTTAAAAAATGAGGAACTAAAGCACTTGGAGAAAAAGCATCTTCAAGTGGTCTACAAATATCTATTTTACCTTAAGTCTTTCCATCTCTTGATAGTAAACTGGGCAAGCCTAACTTCTTCCAATACTCTAGCAGTATCTATGTTTCAGTTATTTCTTCTGAACAATCACTCCCCTTTTTAAGATACCCTTCACAAACCTGCCACAGTGCTTTTGATCTCAGATGTACCTGAGCCTTCTTCTGATGCTGACACTGTTTCTGCAAAGAAATGGCTTATCTTGAGTGATTCTTTCCTCCCCCCCCCCCCCCCCCATTTTGTTTGTTTTTCCTCACAGTCCCTATTAAACTAAGCCAATATATTTATATAGTAAACCACGGCGGGTTTCATCTTTTTTGGTCAGGGTACCCCTGCCGGCCAGTTAATGAGAAGGAGGAGGATTTTCATTGAGGGGAGGGGGGCACTTCCGGTTTTGCCGCCATGCTGCTGCATACCCCCAGGGCCTTCCAAAGTACCCCCAGGGGTATGCGTACCTCTGGTTGAAAACCCCTGTAGTAAACATTCAATAACCAGGTCAACATATCTTTAAGACAATTATTACACATCCATTATAGCTTCATATCCATCACACCTGTAATTGTTTTTAAAGTGACACTGCATTTTTTTCATATTAAAAATATATATAATTGAAAGGCCAAAGAAAATCATGCACGAATCTAACTTATTCAAGTGAAAAAAGATGTATTCCTAACAGTAGGTGTACTAAGAAATCTTTAAAAGATGTGCCACTAAATAAATCTGTAAACATCTGTGGAGACCTTGTAGGATCCACATGACTGATTACTGAAGATTTATCTACCAGATCCTTCCACAGGAAAGAGCTTCCATATGATTTTTCATGCAAAAGGAGCTGTGTGTGTGCGCGCACATGTGTAAAATAACATTTAAAAAATTCTATTATAAAATTAGCATTTCTTTAAAAATCCTTTTTCATATTACATGAAAATATTATTACTACAATAGTTAAATAATCACAGCCTTGTTCCTCAAATGCTAATAATGAAGAGATGCACCCTACTTACAAAAAAGTAATTTCTTTCACTTAAAG